ACATGCTCTTGAACAGCTAATATGTCAAAGAAGAAATTAAAAGAGAAATTTAAAAATATCTAGAGACAATGAAAATAAAAACACAACATACAAAAACTTATGGGATACAGCAAAAGCAGTTCTAAGAAGCAAGTGAATAGCAATAAATGCCTACATCAAAATAGAAGACCTCAAATAAACAACTTAATGTTACACCTAAATAACTTTAAAAAGAACAATCTAAGTCCAAAGTTCATGAAAGAAAGGAAATCATAAAAATCAGAACAGAAATAAGTGAAAGAGAGACTAGAAAACCAATAAAGTCACTGAAACTAAAACTAAGAGTTACTTATTTGAAAAGATAAAATTGACAAAACTTTCGCTAGACTAAGAAAAAAATAAAAGACAAATAAGTAAAATAAGAAATGAAAGAGAAGATGTTAGAACTGATGCCACAGACATATAAAAGATCATGAAAGTATACTATGAGTAATTATATGTCAACAAATTAGCCTAGAAAAAGGAAATAAATTCCTGGACACATAGAACGTACGATGACTGAATCATGAAGAAATAAAAAAGCTGAACAAATCAATAATGAGTACAGTGATTGAAGCATTAATTTATTTATTTACTGTTTTTCTTTTTATTTTTTTGAGATGGGAGTCTCGCTCTGTCACCCAGGCTGGAGTGCAGTGGTGTGATCTTATTGCAACCTCTGCCTCCCTGGTTCAAGTGATTCTCCTGCCTCAGCCTCCCAAGTAGCTGGGATTACAGGTGCACACCACCACACTCAACTAATTTTTGTGTTTTTTGTAGAGATGGGGTTTAACCATGTTGACAAGGCTGGTCTTGAACTCCTGACCTGGGGTTATCTGCCTGCCTCAGCCTCCCAAAGTGCTGGGATTACAGGCGTGAGCCACGGAGCCTGTCCTTGAAGCATTAATTCACACACACACACACACACACACACACACACAAAGAAAAGAAAAACCATATGCCCAGGACCTGATGGCTTCACTATTGAATTCTACCAAACATTTAAAGGCCTAATAATCCTCCTCAAACCTTCCAAAAATCTGAAGACAGAACACTTCCAAATTCATATTATGAGGTCAACTTTACTCTGACACCAAAATTACACAAGAGCAAAACAAGAAAGGAAAATTATAGGCCAATATTAAAGACAAAGACACACAGAACATACAATGACTGAATCATGAAGAAATTAAAAAATCTGAACAAATCAATAATGAGTAAAGTAGCTGAAACATTTATTTATTTATTTCGAGATGAGAGTCTTGCCCTGTCGCTCAGGCTGGAGTGCAGTGGTGCGATCTCATTGCAACCTCCGGATGTTAATATTATTAATATTAAGGATGAAGACAGATGCAAAAGTCCTCAACAAAATATTAGCAAACTGAATTCAACAGCACACTCAGAGGAGCACTGACCATGATCAAGTGGAATTTATCTCAAGAATACAAAGATACTTCAACATATGCACATCTATAAATGTTGCACACTACATTAACAGAATGAAGGACAAAAACCATATAGTCATCTCAATAGTTGCAGAAAAAGCATTTAACAAACTTCAACATATTTTCATAATAAAAACTTAACAAACTAAGTATAGAAGAAATTTACCTCAATACAGTAGAGGCCATACAGGAAAAACCCACTGATAACAATATATTTAACCATGAACAACTGAAAGCTTTTTCTCTAAGAACAGAAATGAGACAAAGATGTCCAGTCTCACTACTTCTATTCAACATGGTACTGGTGGTCCTAGCCAGAGTATTAAAAAAGGGAAATAAATAAAAGGGTGGCCAGGCACAGTGGCTCATGCCTGTAATCCCAGCCCTTTACAGGGCTGAGGAAGGTGGTTTACTTGAGGCCAGAAGTTCAAGGCAAGCCTGGACAACACAGTAAAATCTTGTCTCTACCAAAAAAATAAAATAAAATATGTATTACACACACATAAAATAATATATATACATATATATACACACACATATGGTGGGCATGGTGGTAAACGCCTGTAGTGCCAGCTACTGGGGAGGCTGAGGCATGAGAATTGCTTGAACCCAGGAAGCAGAGGTTGCAGTGAGCTAAGATCACACCACTGCACTCCAGCCTGGGCGACAGATCAAGACTGTCTCCTAAATAAACAAATTGTATCCAAATTGGAAAGGAATGAGTGAAATGGTCTCCATTTACAGGTGACATGATCTTCTATTTTAAAAAAAAAAAAAAGACTCCACCAAAATGCTGGAACTAATAAATGAATTGAGTAAAGTTGCAGTAACTGCGGAATACAAAATCAACATTAAAAAATGAGTAGCCATTCTATACAATGACAATGAACTATACAAAAAAGAAATCAAGAAAACAATCCCTCTCTTACTAGGTACCCAAAAAAAAAAAAAAAAACACTTAGAAATAAATTTTATCAAGGAGACGAAAGACCAGTATAATGAAAACTGTAAAACACTGATAAAAGAAAGAAGATACAAATAAATGGAAAGATATCTCATGTTCATGAACTGGAAGAACTAATAATGGTTAAAATGTCCAAATTATCCAAAGCAATCTATATACTCAATGCAATTCCTATCAAAATTCCAAGGGCATTTTTCACAGAAATAAAGAAAACCCTAAAATTTTTTTGAAACCGTAAAAGACCCTGAATACCCAAGGCAATTTTGAGCAAAATGAACAAAAGCGAAGGCATCACACTACCTGACTTCAAAATACACTATAAAGCTATTGTAAGCAGAAGAGCATGGTAACTGGCATAAACCAGACACACAGACCTAATGAAACAGAATAGAGAACCCAGAAATAAACCCATGCATTTAGGGTCAACTGATTTTTTTTTTTTTAATGGAGTCTCACTTTGTTACCCAGGCTGGAGTTCAGTAGCACAATCTTGGCTCACGGCAAGCCAAGGTTTGCCTCCCAGGTTCAAGTGATTCTCTTGTCTCAGCCTCCTGAGTACCTGGGATTACAGGCATGTGCTACCTACCACACACAGCTAATTTTTGTATTTTTAGTAGAGACAGGGTTTTGTCATGTTAGCCAGGCTGGTCTCAAACTCCTGACCTCAAGGATCTCCTCAGCCTCCCAAACTCCTCGATTACAGGCATAAGCCACTATGCTTGGCTGTTGTCAACAGCACACTCAGAAGAGCATTCACCATGATTAAGTGGAATTTTTAACAAGGATGCCAAGAACACACAATGAGGAAAGACAGTTTCTTCAAAAAATGGTGCTGGGAAAACTGGATATCCAATATGCAGAAGAATGAAATTAGACCCTTCTCTCACACCATATACAAAAATCAATTCAAAACAGAGACTTCAATGTAAGACCTGACACTTTCAAACTACTGTAAGAGAACAAAGGGGAAAAGCTCCACAACATTGCTCTGGGCAATGATGTTTTGGATATGAAACCAAAAGCATAATCAACAAAAGCAAAAAGAGACAAGTGAGATTATATCAAACTAAAAAGTGTCTGCATAGCAAAGGAAACAATCAACAGAGTAAAAAGACAGCCTACACAATGAGAAAAAATATTTGCAAGCCATATATCGAAAAAGGGGTTAATATCCAAAATATTTAAGGAACTTAAACAATTCAATGGTAAGAAAACTAATAACCTGACTTTAAAATGGACAAATGATCTGAATAGACATTTCTCAAGAGAAGACATGCGAATAGCCACCAGATATATGAAAAATTGCCCGACATCCCTAATCATCAGAGAAAATGCTGATTAAAACAATTTTGAGATATCACATTACAGCCATTAGAAGGGCTACTAACAAAAAGAAAAAAAGATCAGTATTGGAAGGGATGTGGAGAAAAGGGAACCCTTGGGCAGTGCCATCAGTAATGTAAATTAGTGCAGCCATTATAGAAAAACAGTATGAAAGTTCCTTGAAAAATTAAAAATAAAACTACTATATGATCCAGCAATCTCACTATTAGGTATACGTCCAAGGAAATGAAATCGGTATATTGAAGAGCTATCTGAACCCCCATGTTCATTGCAGTATTATTTACAATAGCCAAGTTATACAATCAATATAAAGTGTCCATCAACAAATAAATGAAGAAAATGTGACATATATATATTCCACACATATACAATGAAATGTTATTCCGTTTTAAAAAGACAGTAATCTTGTCATTTAGTCCAACATGGATGAACCTAGAGAACACTATGTTAAGTGAAATAAGCCAGGCTCAGAAAGGCAAACACCACATAATCTCACTTATACGTGGATTCTAAAAAAGGTGAACTCACAGAAGTAGAGAAACGGGAGTTCTGAGATCAGGGGACAAGGAATGGAGTTGGGAAATACTGTCAAAGGATAAACATTTAAGGTAGATGGGAGAAACAAGTTCTAGAAATCTATTGTACAGCATGGTGTCTTTAGTTAATAGATTGTATTTCAAAAATCACTACGAGCGTACATTTTAAGTATTCTCATTACAAAACAAACGATAAGTCTGTGAGGTAATTCATATATCAAGCTCAGTTTAACCATTTAACAGTGTATACATATTTCAAAACATCACATTGTATACAATAAATATGTATAATTTTGTCCAGGTGTGGTGGCTCTTGCCTGTAATTCTAATGCTTTGAGAGATGAAGGCAGGAGGATCACTTGAGGCCAACAGCTCAAGACCAGCCTGGGAAAAACAGTAAGACCCCATCTTTACTTAAAAAAAAAAAAAAAAAAAAAAAAAAAAAAAAAAAAAAAAAAAAAAA